CTGGACAAACACCTGTCAGGGATGCTCTCGGCTGACCCTGCCCTGAGCAGGGGAAGTTGGACGAGATGGCCCCTAAGGCCCCTTCCAGGTCTGTATGATTCTGTGACTCTACAGAGCATCTGTACGTAATCGACACCGACCGTTTAGCTTTTGGGGGTTCCCCCCCCCTTGTTGATTGCCGTTTGTTTGCGTGACCATGGAGCCGGGGATGAAACTCAGTGAGGAACACCTGGCGGTTGGTGCCACCCCTCCCCAAGGCCCGCTCTCCCGCGTTTAGCTCCCGATTCAAGCCTTAAATATACAAAGTTCGCAAACTCGGCACACCCACTTAGATCTGCCCAGCGGGCTCTCCCGACTGTTTCCTCCCCGCGCCTCCCACGCGTGCCCTTTGCGAGGGATCGGGCCTGCCCTCGCGTTGCCCCGCAATTAGAGAGGGAGCTCCCCAGCTGATGCGCTCCCGGCTCCCTCTCTGCTGGAGGCCTCGTAAGATAATCGTGTTTTGGGAGGCGTTTTGCCAACGTGTTCTTTAGAGACAGGGGTTTTTGGCAGGGCAACCTCCTGTTTTGCAACGTCGTGGCTTTGGGGGGGAATTCCCTTGTCATGAACTGCTCGCATCGACGGGGTGGGCCAGTTTGAGAGAAACGATCTTAAATCGACCCTTCCAGAGGGTGCAGTTTAGCCCGGGTTTAAATCAGTGGCTCGTCAGAAAGCCTTTTGCTGCCTTGTCGCTCAAAAAAGAAATGTGGGTGGCGCTGGTCTCCGCTTCTCCTAAGTTGGCTGCCACCAGCAAGTGATAACTTCGAGGTCTGGAGTAGGGTTGGGTAGCATATCCCCATTAAGGTTCCAGTTGACCTTTCCGAAACATCAGAAGCTTAGATAAGGCAGCAGGCAGAATGGTTTCCTACAGGCAATTAAAAAAAAACTTAGAGCAAGTTTTAATTATTCATAAATTACAATAAAATAATAACCAGTAAGATCATAAGAACATAAGAGGAACCATGTTGGATCAGGCCAGTGGCCCATCCAGTCCAACACTCTGGGACACAGAGTGGCCAAAACTCAGGGGCCATCAGGAGGTCCACCAGCGGGGCTAGAACTCCAGAAACCCTCCCACTGTGGCCCCCCAAGCACCAAGAAGACAGAGCATCACTGCCCCAGGCATAAGAACATAAGAGAAGCCATGGTGGATCAGGCCAGTGGCCCATCCAGTCCAACTGTCTGTGTCACACAGTGGCCAAAACCCCAGGGGCCATCAGGAGGTCCACCAGCGGGGCCAGAACTCCAGAAGCCCTCCCACTGTGGCCCCCCAAGCACCAAGAAGACAGAGCGGCACTGCCCCAGACATAAGAACATAAGCCATGTTGGATCAGGCCAGTGGCCCATCCAGTCCAACACTCTGGGTCACCCAGTGGCCGAAACACCAGTGGGGCCAGAACTCCAGAAGCCCCCTGCACTGCAGCTTCCTAAACACCAAGGACACAGAGCATCACTGCCCCAGACAGAGTGTTCCATCTATACCAGGGGTGTCGAACTCATTTGTTATGAGGGCCGGATCTGACATAAATGAGACCTTGCTGGACCGGGCCATGTGTGTCATAAAAGGCAATGCCTGGTAGCGGAGAGATAAACTTTATACAGTTGGGGGCTGCTGTTGCCCAGATCCCATTCTGGTACTTTAGCCACTATGTAGTGGCTTCCAGACAGAGCATTGCCCTGTAGACCAGGGGTGTCCTCAGGGCTTTTTGTGTGGAAAAAGTCCAGCAGGAACTCATTAGTATAACAGGCCACACCCAACAGCAGAAACTCATTAGCATATTAGGCCACACCCCTGACAGCACAGCTTATTGTCATTATAGGCCACACCCCCACGTTACCAGAAGTGTGCTCATCCAGCCACACCCACCCTTTGCTTCTTATTCTGTTTACCTTGTTTGTTGTCCAAACCCAGGGCCTTTTTGTGTAGCAGGAACTCCTTTGCATGTTAGGCCACACACCCCTAATGTAGCCAATCCTAATGAGTTTCTGCTGATGGGTGTGGCCTGTTATGTTAATGAGTTCCTGCTGGGTGTGGCCAACTCGGGAGCGAGCCAGAACTCCATTCCTGTGCGTTCCTGCCCAAAAATAGCCCTGGGTGTCAAACATGCAGCCTGGAGGCTGGAAGCAGCCCGTCCGGGGCTTTTATGTGGCCCGCAAGCAACTGGTGCAAGAGAGGGAAGGCAGGAGGCTCCTCGGGGTGGGGGGGTGTTCAGGCACACACAGTGAAGTGTGTGCGGTCGAAGCTGTTAAGAAATGAAAGGACATGGCTAGGGAGCAGGTATGGTATCTCTTGGGGGAAAACCTAGTCTTGCATATGATTAAATACATTTATTGGAGTGTTGGTGGATTCCCCGGTAGATCAATTGCTTTCACTCCTAGGAGACACTGCAGCAAGTGAGGCCAGCCTTCCCCCCCCCCAGTAGCAGTGGCGAGGCCGGTCCGCCAAGCTTTCTCCTTCCCCCCGTCCCTCCCCAGCAGTGGCGGCGGTGAGGCCAGCCCGTCAAGCCTTCTCTCTGTTAATTTGTTGTACATAATTTTAACTGTTTGTAATTATTTGTGCAATTAAAATTTAAAAAAAAATTGGCATTGCCATATGTCATGGCTCAGGTGGGGTGTCACCTGACGCTGCCACCACTTTGGTTCCAGGCTCCCTTGAGAAGGCCCAGAGCACCTTCCCAAGACCTTCAGACCTCCCTTTTGGCTGAATAATAGGTGTGAAGACCAGGCAGAGTGAACAACAAAGAAAAGGTTTATTTTATAGGAGGTCAAACAAACAAGGTGCAGGAATAATAACAGTAGGTGGGTGAAAAGAAAAGAAATCAAATGCCCTAACGCGTCTAAATATATTGCCCCTAGCTCACTATCTCAAGTGGCCTTAGACTACTCAGTCTTCCCTCAGGATGAGGGTTTTTTCCCCACAGCAGCCTCTCTTTTGGCTCTGTTCCCTGGGAATAAGAACAGCTTTTCCTCTTGTACCAGTTATTTTATTCCCTAGCCCTCTTCTTGGTCAAAATCAGCGCCAAAATTTCCCAAGGCCTTCTGGGGTTTGTAGGCCCAGCCTCCCCTACTGCTAGCCAGGCTCCCCGGGCCTAGTAGGCCTCTGGTGGCACAGCCCAGATCATTACACCATATCTTGTCGTCATGTTGTCAAAATAAGCTGCAATGCCAGTAGAACATCCCATGTTTTGCAGAAATCCACCAGCGCAGTAGCTGGCACGCTTGTATGCTCAGAGTCTAATTGTTGGCATTGCGAGCATAAAGTGACGGGGGAAATCCTGCCCTGCTAATTAGCTTGTAGTCAATGCAAGAGCTGGCTCTGATGTTTCACGAAGGCTAAGAAACTTAAGACTTAAACTACACAAATAACTATTAAAGCGGTTTACTTTCTTCCAGACAATTGCAGTAATAATAAACACAACCCTTTATTGGCATTGAGAGCGCAAAACCTTATGGGAATACAGCAAAACACCAAGATACGTCAGTCACTTACACTCTGGCTGTTCAAGCCCCGTCTTCTGAGGGCATCATGTAAAAATTTTGCAACAGCCTCCATTGTTTCACAATTAGAGTTGAACAGAAGAAAGTGAACAACTGAGTCATCAGAATGCCAGCTCTTACCCTCTAAAAGCAGGGTAATAAAGCGAGAGCGAATGTCCCTATAAAAGGGACAATAAAGTACGGGGTGTGTAGCGGATTCTACAAGGACAAAGTCCAGACAATTACTATCACTTGATGGCAGGGCTTTTTTTCTGGAAAAAGAGGTGCCAGACCTCTCAGGAGGGAAATGAAGGAGAATCACATGGGTGCCCTGTTATGAACTTTTAAACATTTTTTGAGAGTTTTGTTTCCACAAAGAGGTTCCGGAACTCTGTTCCGACCCATTTCCCCAGAAAAAAAGCTCTGCTTGATGGAAGAAGAAGAGAAGAAATTGGATTTATACCCTGCCCTTCACTACCCAAAGGTGTCTCAGAGCGGCTGACAAACTCCTTTCCCTTCCCCTCCCCACCACAGACACCCCAAGAGGTAGGTGGGGCTGAAAGAGCTCTGACAGGAACAGCCCTTTTTTCAAGAACAGCTGTGCCACTGGCAGGGCTCTTTTTGTAGCAGGGACTCCTTTGCATATTAGGCGACACACCCCTAATGTAGCCCGTTCTCCAAGAGTTGACAGTAGCCCCTGTAAGAAGAGCTCTGTAAGCTCTTGGAGGATCGGCTACATTAGGGGTGTGTCGCCTAATATGCAGAGGAGTTCCTGCTACAAGAAGAGCCCTGGGCGACACACCCCTAATGTAGCCCATCCTCCAAGAGCTTAAAGTAGCCCCTGTAAGAAGAGCTCTGTAAGCTCTTGGAGGATCGGCTACATTAGGGGGGTGTTGCCTAATATGCAAAGGAGTTCCTGCTACAAAAAGAGCCCTGATACGGCTTGCCCAAGGTCAACCAGCAGGTGCAAGTGGCGGAGCGGGGACTCAAACCCGGTTCTCCCAGATTAGATTCCGCGCACTTAACCACTACGCCAAACTGGAGATTGGGGGCCAAGCCCTAGGAGGAAAGGCTAAGGGACTTGGGAATGTTCAGTCTGGAGAAGAAGAGGTTGGGGGTGGGGGGGACAGGATGGCTCTCTTGAGGTCTTTGAAAGGCCGTGCTTTAGACTGATCCTGAGTTGAGCAGGGGGGTTGACTAGATGGCCTCTGTTGCCTCTTCCAGCTCCGTGATTCTATTCTATGACGAGAGAGAGAAGATCAGGTCAGTTTTGCCCTTTGTTCTGCGTGCCGGGCTTTTCCTCTCGTCGTCGGGACCACAAGTAAACTTTATCCTCTTGAGTTTTATCTCACTAAATATGAACACAAGAGTTTAAAGACTGTAAGTAAGGAGCAGCTGGCAATGGAAAAGTCGGGGAAGCAGGCTGGTCTTGTTGCTTCCGCCTCTGGTGTTGTCAGTGACAATTTTTTTTTAATTGTTTTCCTTAGGGATCGAAGACACCTTCAGAACAGCAGCCACCGAAGTGAGCTTGCTTGCAGGGAGCGAGGAGTTCAACGCCACAAAGCTGTTTGAAGTGGGTAAGTAGCAGCAGATAATCGTCTTCCAGAACTACTCGAGGCAAGCAGATTTCAATCTTCACGGGCGTTTTCTTTTTTTTTCCCCCCATGCATTTAGATCTCATGTAGATAACCAGTGAATTTATAACCCTCCTTTAGCTTACGGCTTTGCTGTCCCATTAGATCCCTGGTTTCCGTACAGGGAAATGGTCCTTTCTATGGAAATGTAGACCTGCGCTCAACAAAGTTTGGGTCCAGGGGGGCACCTTTAAAACCAACAAAGTTTAATTCTGGGTATAAGCCTTCGTGTGCATGCGCACTTCTTCAGATGCATTGTTTCACATCAACACGGCTACCCTCCTGACACTACTACACTGTGAGTTTTGATCTAGCCCTTCCCGCTCGGTTCTTGCTTTCCACTGAAAACTGTATTAACTAGCGTTTCTGCCCCCCAGCTTTCTCAAAAGCTTCTGGAATCGTAATCTAAACACAAAAGAAGTATTTGAACAGTACAACAGCCTCTAGCCCAGGTGTCCCCAACGCGGTGCCCACGACTCCTGCCGAGACCTTTCCTCGTGCCCACCCATCGGTTTTAGAAGATGGGTGTGGCCAGATGGGGCTTTTGCCTAGCAGGGGTTCTGATTGGCCACTGGAGATCTGATTGGCTTTGCAAATTAGAATGACATTGTTATGATCCAGGGGCTTGACAGAGACCCTCGGGAGCAGAGGGTTTTGTTCAGCCAAAACTAAAGTTTGTTGTGCTTTGTTTTGTTGGGTTTTTTTTTTAAAAAAAGACTTCATAAAAACGTTGCTTCCTAATGCACACTACACCACAATAAATTTGCTTGTATATCTGAAGAATTCCTCTCGCTTCATTGCCAAGGTGCACAGTCAGGGAGGGAGAGGTGACCAGTATCTGTCCTGGCAGCAATGTTGCCTCCTGGCTCTGAGATTCAAAGGATTAGTGCCTCTGAATGTGGAGGTTCCCCTCAGTTGCAATGACTTGATAAAGGTATCCTCCATGAGTCTATCTTTAAGAACATCAGAAGAGCCCTGCTGGATTGGACCAGTGGTCCATCTAGTCCAGCATCCTGTCTCACACACAGTAGCCAACCAGTTCCCTCTGGAGGGCCAACAACAGGACACAGAGGCCGAGGCCTTCATAAGAACACCAGAAGAACCCTGTTGGATCAGACCAGTGAGGGTCCATCTAGACCAGACTCCTGTCTGACACAGCGGCCAACCAGTTCCTCTGGAGGGCCAACAAACAGGGCAGAGAGGCCAAGGCCTTCCCCTGAAGTTGCCTCCTGGCTCTGGGATTCACAGGTTTAGTGCCTCTTCACGTGGAGGTTCCCCTCAGTCACCATGGCTAGTAAACATTCATAGACTCATCCTCCATGAATCTGTCCAGTCCCCTTGTACAGCTGTTTATTCCTGTGGCCATCACTACGTCCTCTGGCAGCGAATCCCACATTTTAGTCACTCTCTGTGTAAAGAACTATTTCCTTTTGTCCGTCCTTCCTAGCCGTTGAGTCGAGGAAACACAAGACGAGCCCTCCTGGATCAGACCAGTGGTCCATCTGGTTCAGCATCCTGTTTCTCACAGCGGCCGCCACAAAATGGCTGCTGAGGTGCCTGGGGCCTGTGACAAAATGGCTTCCATGGGGCGCCGGGGCGAATTGCAGAACATTTGTTTCGTTAATATTAACCCCACTCTTCCTCCAAGGAGCCCCAGGTGCCGTATATTGGTCTCCATTCTAGCTCTATAACGACCCTGTGTGGCCAGCCAGGCCGATAGAATGCGATTGGCCCAAGGTCACCTGGTGAATTTCCATGGCATTGTGGGGGTTGAAACCAGGGTCTCCCAGACCCTAGTCCAGCACATGACGCTGCCTTGGGGCGCCGGGGCGAATTGCAGAACATTTGTTTCGTTAATATTAACCCCACTCTTCCTCCAAGGAGCCCCAGGCGCCGTCTGTTGGTCTCCTCGCCTCCATTCTAGCTCTATAATGACCCTGTGAGGCCAGCCAGGCCGATAGAATGTGATTGGCCCAAGGTCACCTGGTGAATTTCCATGGCATTGTGGGGGTTGAAACCAGGGTCTCCCAGACCCTAGTCCAGCACATGACGCTGCCTTAGACTGAATCAGACCCTTTGTCCCTCAAGGTCAGTATTGTCTACTCAGACAGGCAGCCGCTCTCTCTCCGAGGTCCCCAGTCTTTCACACCGCCGACTTCCTTGTCCTCTTATAGGAAAATGCCAGGGATTGAACCTGTGACCTTCTGTATGCCAAGGAGAGGCTCTTCCATTTAGCCATGTCCCCCACCCCACTTTAACCACTACTCCAGGGGTCCCCGGTGTGGTTCCTCTGCTCCCCATGGCGCCCACCACGTGTTTTTAGAAAGTGGGCAGGGCCTGTGCCCAGCAAGGCTTCTGATTGGCTGTGAAGATTAAAAGGCATTCTGTCAAACAGAGTGTCTGCCTACAATGAGAGCTATGCATGACCTTGCCCCCTGACACTTTGTGGCTGGCTCCACCTCCTGCTCTGTATTCTTGGTGCTTGGGAGGCCAGAGTGGGAGGGCTTCTGGAGTTCTGGCCCCACTGCCCCCTGATGGCCCCTGGGTTTTGGCCACTGTGTGATGCAAAGTGTTGGACTGGATGGACCATTGGCCTGATCCAACATGGCCTCTCTTCTGCTCTTATGTCTGGGGCAGTGATGCTCTGTCTTCTTGGTGCTTGGGGGGGGGGGCAACAGTGGGAGAGTTTCTGGAGTTCTAGCCCCCACTGGTGGACCTCCTGATGGCCCCTGGGTTTTGGCCACTGTGTGATGCAAAGTGTTGGACTGGATGGACCATTGGCCTGATCCAACATGGCCTCTCTTCTGCTCTTATGTCTGGGGCAGTGATGCTCTGTCTTCTTGGTGCTTGGGGGGGGGGGCAACAGTGGGAGAGTTTCTGGAGTTCTAGCCCCCACTGGTGGACCTCCTGATGGCCCCTGGGTTTTGGCCACTGTGTGA